AAAATTTTTAACTTACCTTTTTTCTTTCTATATTAAAAAAAAAACAGTAAAATCTTCTTGATCGCTCCAATAGGATTAAATATCCTTATGTTTCTTTATATTATCCTCCTTAAATTCAGTAACTCATATAAAATGATCGATATTACTTCTTCATATAAGAACTATATATTAATTATTTTAGCATTGTACAACAGCGAAACTTCAACGATTATAAACAAAATACAAATATTTGATGATAAATTTGAATCTGCGGCTAAAATTAGGGCATTTCTGGATACTTTTATTAAGAATATTCCACAGTTAGTTATTCAGGTTAAGTAATAAAATTAATTTATTTTAGCAATCAAGCGCTATGCATTTTTTCTTCTAATCTAACTCTTATATTCACAATACTTTATTTAAATAGGTTCTATATTTTAATTCAATAGTAACTTATAGTATTATTCCGTTTCTTACATTATGTACAACTATCTTCATGATTATTCTTACGAATACTCGTTCATTATTCGAATTATTTAAAAAGAAAGAGAATAAAGGAGATGACAAGACAAGTGATAAAGGAAATGATAATAAAAAAAGCGATGAAGGTTATGATGACAAAAAAGGCAATAAGAAGAATAAAATCAACGATGATGATGAAAAGGAAGATAATGAATGGATTGCGAGGATGGTTGAAGGATGGGTCAATGAAGGAAAGGGAAATACAGAAATTGATAACCAATCAAAAAGTTAAAAGTTAAATAAATTTATTTTAATTATAATGAATTAAGGAGAAATTGCCAGAAAATTGGTCTATTATCTTCTATTTATTTACCATCTTTATTATTTTTATGATAGTCATTTTATCAATTTATTGGTTATAGTCGTTGTCATCTTAACCGGAAGATCAAGCAGAAAGTATATGCTTGATGGTTAACATGTAGATTATGTGGATATTAAGAATACATGTATATAACGGAATAGACTTATATTGTATAAAAATTTTTTACAAATTTGTTATATGCATATTAATAAAAAGCTATATAATAGATTTTTTAAAAAATTTTTATTATAGAACAAAATTCTGTTATATATGCATTTGACAGCAAACATATTAAGTATGCGTGAAAATCATCTGCAATATTTAAAGATTATAATTTTGCCTGACCATTTAACTATATATTAAACTAGCCCAAGTCTTAGTTTTTGTAGATAGGAATGTAAATTTAATGCACCAATATATCATTAAAGAAAATTGAGACAAGACCTCACCTTTTTTTTTTTAAAAAAAAAAGAGAATGCTAACATGTGCTATATGTACTAGACATCCTTATTTGCTCAATAGTATATGGTTATTGGGTGCGAAGCAGCAAATAACGAGAATTATTTGTAAAATAATTCATTATCTGGCTGAGAAGTTAAAAAGTCAGCTTCTGAGCCCTAAGGGGCCCAGAAATGACATAATAACTTCGCTACCAGATAAACAAGTTATTGGTTGCGTAGCATACAATAACAGTGTTATCCAGTGGTTTACGATAATTGTGCTTGCTAAGTGACTCGAGTTTTGACAATGATTACGTAAGCTGCCAAATAAAAGTACCCTAGCCATGGCGAAAACGAGGTGTCGGGTCATGTGATTTCCGGCGCTCCAAATGATCATCTACCAATCAAAATTCAGGATCTGGTGTAACGTGAAATTTTACGAAAACAACAAAATTTTGCGGTCTAATTCAAAAATTTCTTGTAAAATTTTACTATAGAGTAGTTTGATTCTTTTATTTATGTGTTATCTTCGATTGTTTTGATTTTTAGATATCAGATTGAATGCTTCGGAAGTCACATGACCCGACACCTCGTTTTCGCCATGGCTAGGGTTTCCCCAAAAATAACGGAGTTATTTGGCAGGTGACGTACTATTTGATGATGACGCGTTCACCATCAAATAACTAGGGTTTCGGTCGTCGTAAGCCATCGGATAATACCGTTATTGGATGCTACGCAGCCAATAACTTGTTTATCTGGCAGCGAATTTAATATTATCATATTAAATTTCACAACCAGATAATGAATTATTTTACAATAATTACGTTATTGAATGCGAAGCATCCAATAACTATTTAGTGCTCAAAAACTTTTTCATAATTTATAAAAGATCCTGCGTTATATTGATAGCAATTATTAAAAATTATAGTATTAATTGAAAAATTAATCCAATAATCTCTGTAAATCACTAGTTTAAAAGAGATTTATTAAAGAAATATTATTACTAAACTACGTGGGGCGTTCAAAAGTTTTGAGACTACATTATTATTTTAACAATCATATATTCCAACCAAATTTGGAAATAAGTTATAAAATATTTTATAGGGTATTATTTTTTGGTGCACCCTGCACTCGGTGCAACCCCTTGATATCTCCAAATTTTACTAGAGTAACCCTGCTAAAAAATATTCTCTGTGAAGTTTTTACCATAACCTAACCTTAACCCAAACTTAACCCTAACTCTAATTCTAATTTAATTCTTATTTATATTGATTTTGCTATAGAGTTCACCGAGTGCCTCTCTTACCAAATAAATTTATTCTATTTTATAATATTGTGTTAATAAAAAAAATTTTTAACTCATTTAAATTTAAAATTATAAAATTATAAGTCTTTGAATTTTACCTTTTACATATATAAAAAAATTTATAAATAATACTATATTTTGTGTGTTGAAAAAATGGTAAAAATATAATAGAAAGATACAATGAGTTGGTTAACATTGAAGAAGATAAAGTACTATCAAATATTACTATTTATTGTTAAATTGAAGTATTTAATGCTGGCAATCAAGTACTAAAAATACTGAATATCCTTTCAAATCAGTCAAATCTTTTTTTTTTTTTTTAATATTAAGGTGACTACTTTGGGTCTGGCACGGTTTATTAACTTCTCAGTTTAATTATCAGGATGCCGAATAGACACCTTTTGACTTTGTTACATCAACGAGAGTACAATTGGTTATATATACAACTTTAGTTATTGTTTATTTAAGGGCTCTGCTATACTATCTATAGTTACCCACCAATTGTCATACCTAGGATCTGCTTGTAGATCCCTTATTTAAACCCTTTGATTGACTTAGCGTCGTCAGATACTTTCTCTAGAAGAATTCCTGTCGCTAAAGCCTTTTAGGATTACTTTATCCTCATGATAAACCTACCAGAGCGATCTATGTCCCACACATGTATCATCTGGGTTTTTCGGTAACTTACGCCCAATCTGAGAACTAGTACTTGTGGCTTTTGTAGCCGCTACCATTACCTACTCCTTGCTCTTACAAGGTTCATTTCGATCCTGATACCTACTTTCAACCGGTCCTTATACTGATCTCTTCCCAATTACCAAACTAGTTAGCCTAGAAGGGTTGTTATACCTAGGCTCTAAGTGCCTTTTGGTTTTACTTTTCTTGGTTCCAAATTTCATAGCATCAGACCTTTTTCTCTGGTTGACTCCGGTGGCCAGGTTGGTGGACTCTTTTTGCCCCAGGGTTGTTCATCCGGTTCTTTGGTTTTGGGTTCCAATTTTCTGTAGTATCGTCAAAGATCTTTACTACTCCTAGCTCGGGTCTTGTCAAATGGGTTTCAAATATTCTGGTTCTTTGGATTTGGATCGCCTTAGAGCTTCCATAACGAGATGATGGTACCAAGATTACAGGTGATATACCCAACCGAACGTCGAATAAATATTACCATAACACAAGTCTATTTTTCGAAAAATATTTCTGGTGGGAATTGAACTCTAGACCTGCCGCTTGGGGGGTGACAACTAAACCACTACTCTATGTCACCACACCTCTAAATTAGTCAAATCTTTAAATACTAATATAATTAAAAAACTTATAAATAATAATCCTATATTATATATTTATAATATTTGGCAAGTAGCATAATTTCATTAGAAGTATTAAAAATATTTTGTATACAAACCTTTTATCAAAAAAATATATTCAAATTGATTTCTCAAATATTAATATGCTGTGATACTATACAAGGCAACAAATATTTACTAAATACTTTGTAAAAAGCAAGTTATGTTAATTTTATGATACTGATCTAGTTTTTTAAAATTTTTTTATTTTTAAAAAATTTAAAAAACTTAATAGGTTATGATTTGAAAGGATTTAAAAGTTTGCTTATGAAATAAAATTAATAGCAAATAACATGCCACAAGTATTATATTTTAGCTACTTTTAGAGTGATATAAATGGCTGAATCATTATATAGAAATTAATAAAAATTATTTAAAAGAAATAGCACAATTAGTTTGATATTTTATTTATAAATAAAACTTTATTCACATATTCTCAAAACTTTTTGAACTCCCTACATATATAATAATTTTGTTTTAATATATGATATATATAGTTAATTTTCTCTAAATGCAACATATTTAGACCAGGCTTTAGCAACTTGTATTTAGAAAACAATTAAAAATTGTATTTATAGAAATAAAACATATATTTGGATCAGATATAGGTAAAAAAAAAAGACCAATCAGTATATTTACTGATTTTAAATAAATATTTAAATAAAAATAAATCAGTATTCTGGTTTGTATCTGATAGAATACTGATTTGAAAATATTTAATAATCTAATTAATTGTTGACTGCTTACAGATTTTGGCTCAAATTAGTATAAAATAGGCTCTAAATAAACCCAAATCAGAAAGCTGATTTGAATTAATTTGTTTATTCAAATACTGATTGGTATAATTAGTAAACAAATTAATTTAAATCAGCTTCTGATTAGAGTCTAATTGGGATTGATTTTATATTAATTTGAACCAAAATCTGTAAGCAATTAGCAATTAATCAGATTATCAAATATGTTAAATCTGTATTCTATTAGATATAAATCAGAATACTGATTGATTTCTATTTGATTATTTATCTAAAATTAGTAAACATACTGATTGGCTCTTTTTTTATCTGTGAAAATTACAGTTACAATTAGAGAGAAGTGGAGTTGCATTTAAAGAGAGCGGACTATATAGTATATAATAAATTATAATAAAAATTTAATTACTATTGATTGTATATATATAATAATTTAAATAGTTTGCAATTAGTAAAATTATACCTGATTTGCTACTATTTATTAAATAGTTTATAATTAGTAAAATTTTTTTTTTATAATTATTTGACTTGTGAGGTCTTGATTTGATTATCTACTTATTAAATCCTGATTGATCCCATTGACCTTCTATTGCACAAAAATCTGACTGCAATATGGAGTCAATAAGGTAAACTTTGTAGCAATCAGACAACCCTATTGATTATTCATTGAATGTTGTGGATGATGCTGAAAATTTGGGTCTTGATTTGAAAATATACTATAAAATCCAGATACGTATACCCTATAGCGTGTATCCTCTAGCAGTTTTAAGGGCCAGTTGGTGACTTATATCCGGGTATATAGATATTATACATACTATATGTATCATCTCAGGTAGATATAGTAAAACATATTGTCTCAATATGGCATACCCACCATATAGAGATACCCAAGTACAAAATTGAGTAATAGAAATATCCAGGCTACACATATCTGAATTTTACGGTAAGTCCTACCAAAATCCACCTATACTCTTTTATTAATAACTCTAGCCCTAAATCCTAACTTAAAAAAAGGCTAAAAAAAAAGTCCAAAAAATTTTTTAAAAATCGTGCACAAAATAGATCCAAATTTCAGCATCATCTCTGAAATTGA